TTGAAAATTATTTAAATCTATTTTTTTGTCAATTAATATTTTATATTTTTAATTGATTTAATCTTTATTTTTTAATTATTTAAAATTAAAATATATAAATTATCTATAAAAAAACATACAAAATTTATTCTTTTTTATAAAAATTGTCATTAAATATCACAATTATTAGCATTTTTCAACTTTTTTATTATAAATTATCAAACTTATTGTATTAATTTCATTAATTTTTTATACTCACTGTCATAATTATTTTTCAATTATATTTATAAGAAATTTAAAAATAAATTATTTTTTAATTTAATAATAATTTCAAATTTAAATAACTTCTCAAAAAAAAAAAAAAATTAATTTTTAATTTGAAAATTATCTAAATCTCTCTTTTTTATAAATTAATATTTTATATTTTTATTTCATTTAATTTAATTTTTATTTTTTAATTATTTAAAATTAAAATATATTAAATTATCTTTGATAAACATACTAAATTATTCCTTTTTTATAAATTGTCATTAAATATCAACATTATTAGCATTTTTAAACTTTTTAATTATTAAATTAGCATACTGATTGTATTAATTTCATTAATTTTACCAAAAGAATTAAATTGAAAAAATGAATAAAATTTATTAAAAAAATTAAATATGTTTTTATTGTAATGAAAATTTCTACTAGTTTTAATTAACAAAATAACATATCTTTTACTAAAATAGAAAGTTAATAAAAATAAAAAGGCGGGACAGGGTTTGTGGATCGGTTTTCTACTGTGGTCAGTGGGACAGGTAACATGGGTCGTCACTATGTCTCAATGCTACTTGTATACTACCGGGCACAGGAACCACTATCGCATTACGGTACCACTTGCGGAACATTACGGATGGAAACGAACCGGGTACAACTATGCTAGCGATTGCGTAACTGGAGCAATCGCTCTAAAATATTTACAAATCTTAATCATATAAATCAATAAAATAGAAGAATTTATTTTTTATGGGTTTATCAAAAATTTATTATAATTTTTCGTATTAAGATTGCTGGGGTTTATAAATATATAAATAATGAATGAATTTATTAAAAATATTTCTTTTAAACCACATATAATACAGATATTTAGTTTTTATATTTCTTAAAAAATCATATAAATAAAGCTAAATTTAACTATAGAATTATAATTTATGTTGTGTTGAAGTTAATAAAAAAAATAATATGAGATAATATAAAATGCTATTTTAATTTAATATAAAGTAATCATAAATAGTTTTTTCATGTAAAATAAGGTTTTTAATATAATTATTTGAATTTGATTACAAAAATTAATAGAGTAAACTTAATTTTTAATTATAATTTAATAAAGTAAATATATAGCTAGATATTTAACTATTTTGCATTATTATAATATAAAATTAATTATGGTAAGTATCAAAATTTTATTTTTAATTATTGTAAATCAATTATTGTTCATTTCGGCTTTCTATTCACTAAATAAAATATTTTAATTGCTAGGGAATAAAGGGCTCTTGTAGAAGCTTCCGTATTGTTTTTGAGAGCTTTAATTTTAGTAATTATTGTTATGATTGTTATTATCTAAATCTTAAGGATTGCTGATTTTCAAATCGTCAAATACATTTAAGGTGTTTTAAACAATATTGTTAATATTTTCTTTAAAAGTTGAAGCATCTTTTTCTAACTCTAACCTTCTTTGCTGTAAAATAAAAAAATATTTCAACTTTTTCAAAAAAATTGTATGTATTTATTTTACTTTCATGCTGTTTTTGGCATCGCTTAATTTGCTCACTGTTTGGGTCATCATAATTTTAGTTTTCTCCTATTTATATTAATTAATTTATAAATAAAATATATATGAATATTCATTCATTTTTTATACCATTTCCATAGATTTTTCTTCCAAAAATCTTTTTTGCTCTGCCAAATATGATTTTGCACTCTCAATTCTATAATTTTTTATTTAAAATTTTTATTTAATAAAGATTTATAATGATTTACTCTTAGTCATCCAAAACTTTATTAAATCTGGAAACTTAGAAACTTGCTTCGCTAATATTATCAATATTTTTAGCTTTTACAATAGCTTTATTGATCAAAGTGTCTTATGTCTCAATCACATACTTATAATTTTCTGAAATATATTTTTAGTTTAATAAGTAAATACATTATCTAAATAAATAAATAAATAAATAAATACTTAGAAGATTTTTTAGATTTTTTAAGCAACCAATTTTTTCTATTTCTTTATCTTATTCACCATCAAAATTAGCTTCATACTCCTTTTAAATGTTATCTATTTTATTCATAAAATCTTTGAATCTTTTGATGTTTTCAGCCAAAATATCTATTGCTTCTCTTCCAATCTATTTGTTAAAAAAATGAGTTAATTATTCCAATAATAAATTTAATCAAAAATACTGGATCAACTGGCATGGCGAACAGCTCTTTTTTAAAAGGAAGTAAATTTATTTCACTAATTTCTGATTGATTATCTATATAATCTTCTCCTAACTCTATCTTTCTTCTTCTTATGTAAATTTCTTTCCTTATGTTAAGCATATCTTAAAGTTCTTTATGCAATGAAGACAAACTTTCTTTTAGGATGTCATTTTCTCTCAATAATTTTTATCTAATTTCTTCGTTTTCTCTTGTAATCATCATAGAAAACTCATGGTCAGCATTAGCAGCATAAATGTTAGGTCCAACCTTATCTAACTTGTTGGTCATTTCAAAGTTATTTTAATAACTTATGTTTTTTTCTTATTGGTACTTCTTAATTTGGTCTTGTAGCTATTTAATCATAGTATCTTTCTTTCTAAATTCATTGTTAAATTACGTTTCCCTGTTGACTATTTTACTATACTGAAGAGTAATATCTCTAAGTTGAGAATTTAATTTTTCCTTTTCATCCCTATAATCTCTTTCTTGATTTTTAAGTTTTTAGTTAACAACATCAAGCTCTGTTTATAATTACTGTTTAATTTTTTTTTGTTAGTTTAAAAATGTTCTTTTTTTTAAAAAAATAATACTTTGTTTCTAATCTAAAGTTTTTCAATTGCATTATGCATTTAAGCAATATCATTTTAATCACGCTTAGCTGTTTCATGATGAAGTTATCTGAATTCTAAATCTCTTTGTCTTTATTATAATAGAGAGCGAATCCTATTAGTATTAAAAGGAAAAAATATGTTTTTCTTCATACTCATTTTTATAATTATTAAATTTTTACGTATTTATTGCTTGCTCAATATTATCATTTGACACTTCAAACAGATTTCCAATTCTATTGTAACCATATGATTAGAGGGCATCGTTTATTTATTTTAAATCATTAGCAAGTTTTGCTCTTTTCATTTCTTCATCAAGTTCATATGCTATCATGTTAACTTGACTTTGAATTTAGTTTGCTTATGAGTTAGCATTTAAATTGAGATAATTACTTAGTTCATTATTATTATTACTATTAATGCTAAAATTATTATTGCCTGCTCCATTAGAACTTGAAGAATTCAAATTATTAATGTCTTAAAAAGAGAAATTTCCCGTTTTATATTCACCTTATCCAAGAAATTATCCACTATTAAAATTATTATTTGTATTCATGATAAAAATGTAGCAATAAATGTTATATTCTAGCTAATTTTGTTTGTATATTAAGTAAGAAACAATTATTAGATAATTAAAAACTAGATATTTTAATGTGAGTTATTAAATATCACCTAAAATTGGTTAAAAAATTTGAAATTTTTGAAGTTAAGAAATATTTTAAGAGCCCAAATTGAAATCAAATTTTTTGAATGCGCAATAATGAAATAAATTAATTCTTATCGCTTTTATGTTAAAAAAATTGTTAAATTTTTATAAATAAAAAAATTATTTTAATTGTTAAAATATTGCACTCATAATTTTGAATATATTAATTTAATTATTTTTAGCATACATCAATCAATTTTCTTTTTATAAATTTGAACTGAAAAGATTAACGAATATTTGTAATTATGCGGATGTTTAAAAAAATTGATTTTTGAATTTTTAATACAAATTAGAGTCATTTTGATGTGTAGCAGAAGATTTAGGATATATGCAAAATAATTTGCAAGAATTTAATTTTTTATATTCAAAATAGAAGATATTTATTTAATAATAATAAATTTGCATCATAATTTGCTAACTAAAATTCAATTATTTATAAATAAGATATATAATATTACATTCTATTTTGCATATAACGATTTGAAGTATATAATCAAGAGAATTAATGCATGTATGGGAAATAACAAAGCTCACTTAGTTTTGATATTGTTTAACTACAAATTCGAAATGTTAGAGGATTCAAATTAAAACAAATTTCATTCAAAAATTAAATAAATTACTTTTTTATATTTTTTTATCTTGAATTTAGGAATATAAAGAAACAACAAACTTTTTATCAATTAAATACCAAGCAAAATAATTAAAAAAAAGGTATAAAGTTTAGCCTGTATAAGGAAAGAATATTTATTTGATATCGATTTGCTAGTACTTGCAGGTAGATTAACAAGATAACCATTACATAAATTTTTTGTTTGCAAAATTATTATTCTCTTATCTTGAAATAGAAGAAAATGGAGGTTCAAGCTTTCAAAATTAGGGTTTCATAAGATAATAAAGTTAGAGATTCGTTTGCTCCAGAATATCATCTAAGACAAAATAGTAACAACACTACTCGCTTAAATGATGAAGGTAATGATTCTGGTATCAATGACCATCTCACGTCTGCTCGCTTTAATTTTCCAGAAGAAATAGAAGATTAAAATGGAAATAATTAAAACTAAATCAATAATGAGAATCAAAACTTACCTATAATTTAATAATAAAATTTCTAATTGTAAAAGTAGTAACAGTAGCATTTTACAGCCTATCAAAAGAAGAATGTTGAATTGAGCGATTACAGTAGTAATGGTAAGCACAATTTAAATAGTAATGGAAACTATAACACGTAAAGGACAAATTAGTCTAATCAAACTCTTAGCGAATCGAACACTGTTGTTAAAGAAAAATAGCCTGAAGAATTACTAGCAAATGAAGAAGAAGAATATGATGAAGAACACTTTTAAAATGGCAATTAACTAGCTAACTAATTTGACAAGTATTAACAGTAAAGTCACTACAATTAACTAGTTCTTCATCATCAATAAATTTAATAAAAGCAACTTTATCAGAAGTAAAATGTGCATTTGAACGGCAATGCTTAGTAAAAACGATTGTTGTATGATGTTTAAAATAATTAGCATCAAGAAGAAGACTTAGACTAATAATATTTACATAATTAGAGCTAAAATAGCATGAATTAAGTTGATATCGAGTTTTTAGGGGAAGATAATTAAGTTATTGCTTAACCCAGCAACTCAGGATTTTAAAGATAGATGCCACACTAATAAAATCAAGGCAACTATTAAAATCCGTTGTTATAAAAATAATAGTAGAATATAATCAATCAGTAAGTAAATAGATAAATTAATAACAAATCTATGTAGCAAAGTTTTGGTATATTTAATTAATTTGATTAGAATTAACAATAGTAATAATTACAAAAAATTAAAAATGTTTATTAACAATCAAATGGAGGGTAGTTTTTTAGCAATAATGGGGTAGATGATGGAGAAGAATATGATTACGAATCTGGGCATTTATAAGATTATAACGATCATTATGTAAAAAACAACTAATACTTGAGTAATCTATAGCAGAAGTAACAGATTTACACAAATCCTCAATAGCTTTAATATAACTAAAAAGTTTATTAGTAGTATCCCGCTTAACAGATTAAACATAGTAATTAAATTTTGAATTAATAGAAATAATAACAATAAACAGCTCTTTAGCAGTTAAAATAATAAAATCAAGATCATTCAAATTATGGTAGTTAAAGTTTAAATGCTAAAATGTAAAGTGGACAAGCAACAAATAATTATATCCATAAAAGGAATGCTTCATAGTTAAATTATACATAAAAATAGTGCCACACCTACTCCGATGATGAAGTATTGACATTGACTCATGGAGAAGATGATGATCGACACATATATTTAGAAGATAATTAAGAGCAAATTTAAAATTAATTAAACAATTCAGGAAATCATAATAATAATAATTAATTAAATCTTTCAGGTTTTAATGGTTAAAGTTCTTACCAAGCTTGTTACCCATTGCCTAATTCTAACCTTTAAAAAATAGACAAGTAAACAATTGATGAGCATTCTAACAACACTTCAAACAATGAGGAAGGTATAGTCAACATTTCTTCGATCAAAAAGAATGTTATTACTCACTAAAACACTCCTTCCCATACTAATTATCAAGCATAAACTTCTCCTATCCCTCTCAAGGAAAGTAACAATAATCAGTAGTCCAATATAAAAAACTAAATTGAATCAAACTAAGGAATTACTAACTATTAAAAAAATATAATTAACTCTAACACAAATTAATAATCTCGCAAGAATAATTTTAATGAAGACAAAGAAAACTAAACACCTCATAATTCATTATCTGTTAAATAAAGAGAAAATTCTGCAAATTTGTAAAAAGGTTATGGAAATTCCAATAAACACCAAGCAAACTTATCCCCTATTTCTATCACTCCTTATAATCAGAGCTTATAAAATTCATGCAACTAATCTTATATTAAAGTAGATAAGGAAGATAAAGTAAAGTTGAATAATCAAAAATAAAAATTAGATATTTCAGCAGATGAAAACATATAAGATACTTCATATAGTATGTTTTTACCAGGCGCAAATTATTTAGATGAAGAAATATATTTACAAAGCACTTCAGTTGCTAAGTAAAGCAGCAAAAATTGGAAAAATAATTAAAATGTTAGTTAAAAATAATATCAAAAAAATTAACTGTAAAACCCTATTATGAATTAAGATGGAGCTTAAAGATTCACTGAAGAGTAATTAGATTGTAGCTAATTAAACATAAAAGACTTACAAGATGGATACTACTATGAGGGTTAAGATAAATTAAATGGTTATTATTTAGATGAGTAAAGCAGAAATATCTAATTAGCCAAAATATAGAACTAGTCATTAATTTCTTCAAAAAACGATACCTAAAACAATTCTTAGCTGAATAAGAAACCTGTAACGAGTACAGCAGGAATCAATAAATTTTGTTAAAGTAAAAATGTAAATAAGACAACAAATTCTACATCAGCAACATAATCGACTTCTGTTACATTTTAAACTTAAGGCTTTCCAAGAGATTCAATTGGTAGCAAAGAAAACATTTACAATATATCTAACTTAACATCTGAAGGAAAAAATATGAATACTTAAGAAAATAAAGTAAAAGGAAAATTAAATAACTAAAATAAATTGATTACTGAAGGAGATTTAGAGGCAATTGAATTCGAATAAGTAGTTGAAAAGTAGAATAATTAAAACTAATAAAATTTTTCAGAAAATAATTAAAGAGCTATCCAAATAGCTTCAGTCGATAACAGAGACAAATAAAAAATGAAAACAATTTGCAGTAGAAGCAGCAGCTAAGAGAGCTAAAATGAAAAAGATAGTAGCAAGCTTGAATTGGACAAATCAAGGTAAGTCTTTTAAGATTAGCATAAAGAATATAAAAAAATTTACGATATTCTTAATTATGAAAGAAATAAAAATGAAGCCTAAGAAAAACTTATTCGCTAAAAATCATAGATGGTTTTTGATTACTAAAAAGTAATCGAGCAAATTAGTAAGGAAAATGAGCAGTTGAAGCAAGAAAGAGAAGAAAAAAATATAACAATTCTAGCATAAAAGAAGTACATTCAAGAGCTAGAGGAGTAATAAAAAAACAATAAAGAGCAAGAATTGAATGAAGAGCTCATATAAGAGAATTAAAAGTTAAATGAGGAATATAAAACCTTGCAAATTGAATACAAAGAATTTTTGGATTAAAATATTTAACTCATTAATGAAAATAAATAATTAATAAAATATAATAATGAGCTTGAAAGTAGCTTGTAAGAACTACAATCAAAGTAGAGTGTAATTGATTCATCTGTTCAAATGCAATTTTCAAACTAAATAAGCTAACTGTAATTATAAATTGAAAAAATTACTGCAGCAAAAGACTAAGAAATTGAATAGCTTAAAAAATCTATCATGGAAATATCATCCCATAATTAATAGAATGGAAGAAAAAATAGTATCGGTGCATCCTAGGATCAGTAGCATCAGATTATGCAGCAAGCTAAAAAATTAGAAAAAGGTACATCGTTTGAGTCTATGAACATCTCTTCAGCTATGACAGATAACTCTTTCTCTTAATCTTTTAATGGCCATCCTCCTCGCAAATAACAGAATTTACATAAAAATCAATAATCAAATGTTCAAAATTCTCATAACAATTCAAACCACTCAAACAATAACTTCAATACAATCTGCTCCCATCCAAGCTAAGATGAATCTAATAATTGCTCTCAGTCTTAAAATTAACAAAACTATCGCAGAACTAGATCTTCAAGTCTTTCATACAAAGGAATAGATTAATCTTTACAAAATTCATACTACAATTAAAATAATAATATTTATTCGTCTTAATCAAATCATCAACATAGTGGATCATTTTCTCAAAGTAATTAGAGTATGCAATCATAATAAACTCATAGTAATGCTACACAAATATGTGGAGCTTCTTCTTAAAATAACTAAAGAACAAATATATTTTCTATATAAGAACTAATGAGTTTATTGTAATTAAGTTAAGAATAAGAAATACTGTAGAAAGTGAAGGAAATTCAGGAATATAACATAAATACCAAGAAATTTATAAACTGTATAATAGATATGATATAAAAATGTGCTCCTCAAGGCTACTTTACAAATAAAAAACCTGATCTCAAGCAATGCTGGAATATTTTGAAGAAAATAATGGATAAATATCTTGTGTTAAAGGTCAATATGATCAAAGATTAAGTAGATTAAGAATTGGTTATTAAGATATAATCTTATTTATAAATTAATGATAAGGAGTAGATTGTTGATAAAATAGCAAATCTTTAATCAGAAAATTAAAAACTCACAAGAATTATGATTCTTGTAAAGAAAACATTTAATTTAGAGTGGGCTAAATCACTTTACGAGTTAGAAAAAGCATTAGAAAACGAAAGCGAATAACAAATTGCTCAAACCAGTAAGAGCTTTAGTGGAATTAAACAAGATAACCTACCTTCTCATTCATCATAAGTTACATTCAATGGTTACAGCTAATTATCTTCAGCTCATTAAATAAACTCAAAAGGTTCAGCTTCAAACTTATAAAATTTAAATAATCATTCTTAATTATCTTAAATGAGAGGAGTGCATAAAAAAGAATCCATTCTTAATTAAGAGCACAATTAAATACAACAACATCAATAGTAATATTAAATTTATGGATCAGCTGCATCTTCTCAAAGAATTGATTCTGCTAATTCAAATCATATAGTTCATCATAATCTTCTTATTTGACATTAAATAAAATAATAAAATTAATGTATATAAATTTAAAACAAACTCTACATAAAATAAATGAAAAATTTTTCTTAAAAACAGTTTTCTTGCAATTTAATTTATGAATAAATAACTATTATAAAATCAAAAAATAAACTCCTTTAAAGAGGAAGCGAATAAGCTTAAATATAAAAGTAAATAAATAAATAAAATATTTATTAGTTTATCTGATAAAATTATATAGTAATGTATGTAAGTAAGTTTCTTATAAAATTTAATTTCCAAACATATTTTAAAGAAAAATTGTAAATTTATTTTAAATACAAAACACGCTTTGCTAATTAATGAAAATTCAAAAGTTATCAATAAAAATATCTTTTTTCTCTTTAGTTTAAATTATACTCCTAATTAATTTTATTTAAGTTAAATTATATAATAAAACTATTATGAATCTTCAAACTTAATTAAATTTAAAATAAATGAATTTATTTTAGAAAATGATATTTTAAATAATGTCTTGAATAGTTTATTAATCTTCTTTTGCAATTCTTTTCAAGATATTATTATAAATAGATAAAATAAAAATAAGTTATAAAAGATAATTTTTGTAGTTTAAATATGTAAAATTTATGATAAAGAGCCTTCATTAATTTTTAAAACAATTAAAATTAAAAAATAATATTCTAAAATAAATAAATAAATTTTAATTTTGTTTAATTAGAATTATTTTTTGCTATTTTCAAATTAAAAATATTGAAAACAATCAAACAAATAAGTACTTAAAATAAACATAAACTTAAATTAAATCAATGCTTAAATTTAAAATATCTTTTAAAAATAAACAAATTATTTTTATTAAAATTTAATCATTTTATTTAATAATTTACTAAACCTTTTCTAATGTTTTTAATATCTATCTATCTATCTATTTTCCTTGTATTTAAATATTTTATATCATTACATAATCCAATCTGAAGCACTTGGTTTGAATATTTTTTTCTTTTTCATTTTATTAATTTGATTTAATGCAAGCTAAGTCTCCACATCAACTTCATCCTTCTTTTTATTTATGTTATTAAAAATTTCTTATTATTGACTATCTTCTTCGCTATTATCCTTATTTTCTTCATCATCATCATTTTAGTTATCACTTTCATCACCTTAATCTGAATTATCGTCAACTCTTTGAATTACTGTTTCTGTAATTTCTATACCGTTTTCGTCAACATAAGTTCTTTCTACTTCTACCTCTTTTGCTTATTTTTTATTTTTTTGTTTGAAATTCCTTTTTTTAGGCTGAATATTTGCTTCCCCATTGCTATCATCTGAATCTTCAGTATCATCTAACATAGCTAAAGCTTTTCTGCTTGTAACTTCTTACTTCAAACGTAACTTTTCTTCTTCTCTTTCTTTAATTAACTTTTATATATCATAAGTAGCATCTTGAAATACTCCTTAAGTATTTCTATCACAAACATAACAAGTTTTACTTGTTGCATAATTTTATAGAGCACAACTTTCGCAAAAAAAATGATTGCATAAAGTTTTTATAGGATTTTTTAATTTGCTATCACAAATTTAACACTTTTTTGGAACTTAAACTTCACTGAGTCTCTATTCAACTTCATCTGCTTCAGAATCTTCTTCTTCTCCATTTAATAATGCCTATTATTTTCTTTTTTAGTCTTTTGCCCATTCTTATTCTTATTCAAATCCATTTTTGTAATCACCTCTATCATGCAAATATAAACAACTATCACCAAAGACACAATAACCAGTATCATGATAATCTTTGCAAAGAGAAGGATCATAATCAAAACGACAAGTCATTCTAACATTTGCTGGTGCTCTCACAGGTCCCATGCTTCCAGTAATCTTAGATTTACGTATTTCTTCTTCTGACTTTTATGTATATTGAGTAGAATAATTTTTCCCACGGTATACATCAGAACTCAGTTTTCCTTCTCTGATTTATTAACTAATTTCTTATCTTTTTAGGGCTATTGCTCTTGCATCAACTGCTTAGTCAGTATCTATTTCATTATAAACAGTAGCTAAATCTTTCCTATTTCCCAACATAGTTTCGTTTGATTTGTATTTCAAATCTTCGATTTCTGCATTTACTAACTCCTAAACTCTATTTTTATTGTTATCCTCTTAATCATCTTCTTATCTAGGATTAGGTTTTATTTTTTTTATAACTTTCAGATTAAATTCCTCGTCATCTGAACCTTTCCCCTATTCTTCTTTTTCGATTTTTTCTAATCCTATTTCTATTTATTCTTTTTTAGGTGCTCTTTTTTTAAACATTTTGCTTAAATTCTTTTCAAAATCAATTAAAAAATTAATTAGATAATTATGTGAATTTCAACTAGACGTATTACTACAAATGAATTAAAGCTACTAAGGAAAAAATATTTGATTATAATTTAATTAACCAAAAAACAATAAAGAAGAGATATATTAGTCTATTTATATATTTAAGCAGTAACTAAATAATAGATTTTATCTTCTTTGTAGAAATAAAATTTTAGTAATATCCAAACTGTTAATAATAGATTTTCCTTCATTTTTTTTTGAAAGAAGAAATACTATTTGTTTTTATAATGCATTAACTTAAAATTATCAAATGAAAATTAAATAAATCTTCAAATACCAAAATTAAAATTAATATTATAGAATAACTAAAAAAAAATACTTGAATATTTTATTTTTATTGAATAATAAATTATCATTTTTTAAAAAATTAAAAGAAAAATTTGATTTTTTTGATTGAAATAATATTAATTAATTTTACATTTAATAAATCTATTTTTAATTTTTATTAATGAAATTAGAAGTTTATTTTTCTTAATTATTTTTGTAAGCAATAAGAAATTAAGCTATTTTTACAACAAAATATTTAAAACTCATAATAAATATCATTTTTGTATTAATCAATTAAAGATATTATCAAACTAAATAAAATAGAATAAAAAATTTATTTTTTTGCTTAATATTTGTTTTTATTTTACAAAATATATATAATTATTTATTTTGTTGAGGCATTAAAAATTAATTAATTTTTTTATAGTTTAGCTTTAAACGGTATTAAGGATTAAAATAAGATTAATATTTTTTTTAAATGATATTTAAAATATAATAGGCGTTATAGTTTTGAAATTGAATTTATTTTACTATGATCAGATAAACAATTTTTTGAGAATTCAAAAAAATTCAGTTTTTAGAATTCATATTAAAGAAAAAAAGAAAAATCGTGTGTGTTATTAATTAAATTATTATGATAATAATAAAATTTTAGAGACACTATTTCTTTTATAAAAAACATTATTTATAAATGATTAGATCAGTAATTTGTTGATAATGATTTATCAATTTTTGATTTTAAAAATTAATTAACAATCAAAAAATAAAGTTAAGCTTAACTTTCTTAGTCCAAGAGCGAAGTAGAATTCTAATAATTAAATGCTACTTAATAAATAAGTCTTCACTAAAATAAATATTGTAAAATTATATTTTATATATAATATTATATTTTTGTATTGCTAATCTTTGAAAAATGTTTTTAACAATTATTTTATCATTAAAGAAAAGCTACAGTGAGGTAGATTACATCTCAAAAGAATATTAAAAGTTTATGAAAAAGTGCTACTTAGATCATAAGATTAAAGATAAGAAGCAAAGGGCTAAAAAGGGACTCCTTAAATAGTTAAAGTGTAGAAAGAGTGATCATAGGAATTCTAAATATACTTACATTACTGTGTCTCACATGTAAAAGTGTGGGCTCTGTTTGAAAAAATTTAGAGAGCTAATAGCAGCAATTAAAAAATATAAGAAGCTTGCTTTCTCTTTTGTTTCTATAAAAAAGAAATTTTAGCTTCGACTTGAAAAATATATAGAAATTCTTCAGCTATTAAAGTAATGAACATTTATTTTTTCAATATTATTATGGAAGGTCCACAAAATAGCATCAAAAAACTCAAGAGCAAAGAGTGATATAGAGGTTTTCAAAGCTATATAATTAAGATACAAAATTTTTATAATAAATTACTGCTATATATTAACACTACTAAGTTTATTTTTAATATGTATTCTGTATATAGTTAACACTATTCAATATAAATTGTTTTATAAAATGTATTCAATTACATATTATATTTATTTCTTTTATAATAAGCTTTATTTTTTATTTACTTGAAGATAAATCAAAATATATTTATTTGTAGATATTTGAAAAGAAATTATAAGAATTGATAATTTATCAATATTCTTAAAACCTAACAATTTGAATTGTTAACTTTTGATAATAGACATACAAATTTTATTTGCTTATCTATAAATGAGTAGTTTTATTATTTCATTCAAAAATTTTTTAAATTTATTATTATATCTTTTTATTTAAGATTTTTAATTAAAATAATTATTTATTTTCAGATCAATTAAATAATAATAATTTTAAATATCAAAAAATTGATAACTTAAATTTTTAACATTTAATAAAAAAATAATAAAATTAATTGAGTGGTTTATTAATTTCTTCATAATTCAAAAATTTATAATTTATTTCCTATTTTGCTTTATATTTTTGTATTTTTTTAAGTTTAACAATATTTTATTATTTTAATTTACATAAATTTAAAATATTTTTTATATTTTAGGTTTATTGGTAATATTTTTATAAAAAAATAAAGAAGCTTTGAAGTTAAAATGTTTTAAACAGCATTAATACTTATTATTTAAGATCACTATTTATTTTAATAAAATTGAGTAATATTAGTTTTAAAAATAAAATAAATCGGATGTATTTTTTGTATTGATAAATTAATTTAATAAAAATAATTTTAAGAAATAAAAAAAAACACATGATTAATTCTTGCATTAATTAGTATTTTCAATAGTTGTATTTAGTTTATTTTTGATTTTTAGCTTCTTCTTTTACTTTTTCTAGCACATTTCTAAAGTATTTTAATTATTAACTTACAAATTTTAATTTTGCAACAGCTATTTTGGCTAATTAAAATTAAAACAGATTATTAAAAAATGGTAAGTTTTTCAGTATTAAAATGCTTACTTCTTTAGTTATAGTCATCTTGCTCTTTTTCTTCCTACTCTTCTTACTATTTTTTATTTTCTTTCTTATTTTTATTTTCTTATTCTGTCTTCTTCTTTTCATTTTCATTCTAATCTTATATAAAGTCCAAATATTCTTATCTTGTTTTCTTTTTATCATCCCTACTGCGCTCATATAAGTTATCTATTGCCATAAGAATTCTTCCTAAAGTTAAGTTTGTTTTAGATGCCTCACTACTGCTCGATTCTACAATACTTTGTATTTGATTTCTTTCAAATATTTTATCCTATACTCAGTGAGTTATACAAAAATTATAAATTTAACTAATTTAATATATTATTATTTTTACTTCAAGTTTTTTAGTTAAGTCTTTAATGTCGTTGTTTAGTTGTAAAATTTCTTGATTTTACTCTTTTTCAAATTAATTTGATTCATATTTTATTTTTTCATATTCTTTTTCCATTTATTTGTGCTTTTTATTGAGCTCGTCATAACTTTAAGTAAGTTTAGTGTATTGCGTTAAAATTTGTTAAACATCTTAATATTGATCTTCTGATTTTATAACATTATCTAAATATTCCTCATATTTTTTAAGAGTTCCTAATTTTTTATCAAACTTCTCAGATAATCTCTACAGCTCCTCACATTCTTATTTTAGCATTTAAATCTCTTTTTCTTTTTATTGCCTTGCTTTCTTTTCATCTGATAATCTTTTTTCTGCCCTATTTTTTTTCGCTTCGTTCTCTTGAAGAAACTTACAAAAATTAATTAAATCAGCTTGAACTGCCATATCTCTTTCTCTAATGCTTTCCTCTTAACGCTTAAAAATCTCTTCTTTCCTTTAATTAGAGTAGTAAATTTAGCCATTAATATTATTCATTTAAAATAATATCCATTTATTTTATTATTTTTTATCAAAATTGTAATATAATAAATTCTATTTTTGTAAGTGACAAATTACTTTTTAAATTCTTCTTTTTAACTTTCAAAAGCTTCGTTAACCTCATACATTTTACGTCTCTTCTCTAACAGCTTTGTAGCTGGAGAAACTGTATCAAATTAAATATGGCTCGGAAGCTTATTAGATTTTATTTTATTAATCATTTTATAAGTGAATTCAAACTAAAGCTAATAATATAAAGACTGATTATATTTTGCTCAATAAAGCTATCTAAGATTTAATAGTTTTTAATATGTTTTTTAATTAATATTAATCAATCAATTATTTATATTCAAAAGATGATTTTTACAAAAAATTTAAGTTAGATAAATTTCTAAGGTTTATTAATGAACAAGATTAACATTTAACAAATAAAAAAATATTTTTTAGATTAAATTAGTTTTAATTTGTAAGTTGTAGAAATTTTAAATCAGTTAATCAAATATTGTAATAGTTTAATTCTAAAAGATAAAAAAAGAAGAGTATATTATATTTAATTTTTCGTTAAAAATAAAACATTTTGTTTTTTTACTTAACTAAATTTTGTTTGGTTATAGAAAGTTAAAATTGTAGAGATTTTTCATAAAAAGTTGTATTTAAAATTGAACACTATACTGGATTTAGTAAGAATTGCAAAATTGTTTTGAGAACATAAAAAATCATTGAATAATTATTAAATTTTACTGATTAGCTAACTAACTAACACAGTAAATAAATTGATTTGTAAGATTTAGCAACGAAAATAACAAACAAATTTACTTTGTTCACTCCTTAAACAAACATTATAAAATAAATTTGAAAGGATTTAATTGATAACCAAAAATTCATTCATGCTTTATCCGAAATAGGACATAAATATTACTTCACCTTATCTTAATCCTAATTAAGATGAATAACTTATTAGTAGAAATAAACTGTAATCTATTCATTAAAGACATAAATCTAGCTCAATGACTTAGTAGAAATTCTCTTTAAAAAATAAAAATCTTAATCTATCAAACTAGATTAGCAACGATTTTAGCTTACCAAATACATACAGAGAATCTACAATGAACAAAGCTTCTTCAACTAAAAATGGACTGTCTAAAATTAATCATTAAAAGCATCAATCGTTTCACTAATTTTAATAAATTAATGCTAATGGAAGCAATATTTAGTAGTAAAATAGTTTAATAAATTCTCCAACAAACTAAGATATTAAAATCTAGTTAAATGGATAAAAATAATCTTATCTACAATCAGCTCTGTTTTTTAATTTTCCTAATAATAACAACAACAACTAATAACTTAATGCATCATTTTTTTAAGGCAACTAAGATGATTTATAGTAACTTAAATAATCTCTTTAAATGCTTATATAAAGAGAAGAAGAAGTTTGCAGAGGGTTAATATAAAGGAGTAATAAACTAAATGAAATATTTGCTTTATTTGGAACACCAGAAAATTTTCACTTTTCTAATGAAAACGATTTTACAAAATTTCATCAAGCTGTTTAAGATTTATCATAAACTCTTATTAGCGCTGCTAAGAATGAAATAGAATTAGGATCTAAATGCAGAGAGATAGAAAGGTTAAATCTGGAAAATAAGTTATTAAGCCGCAAAATGAGTACCCTTAAAGAAAAATGTTAAGAATAATAAAAAGTTAATGAGTTGCTTTCGTAAAGAAACAAGCAACTATTGGAAGAGAACAACAAATATTTGATTCTTTTGAATACAGAAAAGAAAGATAACAGAATGAATACTAAAAAAGTCTCAGCCCTAGAAAAGCGAGTTGAGTTTATTTTAGAAAACGAAGTTAATATTACACTTAATCCTAATGATAAATTAAGGTAGAGTTTAAATGAATTATTAAGAGAGAATGAGGCTCTTAAAAGGGATCTCGCTCATAAAAATTAAGAGATTGAAAGAAATTTAGGCAATATTAAAAAATTTAATGAGATCATAAATAGGCTTAATCAAAAGATAGATAGTATGAAAAAAGACCCATCAAAATACTTTGATGGTTTAAATTCTCAACAATAAAGTTCATAGAAGCTAGAAGTAAAATCAAACAATTAACAAGGCGGAGATTTTTCATATTCTTCTCAGAATACTAAACTAATCAAAAATGATGACATTGACTTATTCTCAAATTTTGTAATTCCATAAAATGTTGGCTTTAGGATTGTCTCTCTAAAATCTGACCACTAAAATTTAATTCACGATCTCATTGAGATTGGTATCAAATTATAAAACGATTGCTTTCTTAGTTATTTATGAAATTAAAATTTTTTAATTAGGCAGTACTAACTTCACCAAATAAATAATGTCAACAAATAACCAAGTACAGTAAAGAGATGTAAATAAATAAATAGATATTTATTTTAAAATATAAAGTTTAATTTTCAAAAATACTAAAATTTTAGGTGTTTAACTTGGTAGCAAGCTAATTTTTATCATTTAAGGATTTAAGTGAAAAGGTTAATCAACTTTTGAATGATTTGTAAATACTTTTTTTCTAGGAATAATAAGATTCAAAAGAAGTAATAAGTAAATTAAATTTGTCTTTAGCTCACATATTTAATGCTAAATCAGCTCATATTTGGTTCATTGAGTGCTAACAAGGAGTAAATTAATTACATATTAATAAATGTATGCTTAAAAATTTTTAATACATTATTAGATTTTAACTACTTACGAAAACAACAGAGAGAAAAAGTGCTTAATTTCTAAAGGATTATTAAGTGAGTGTTTCTTTGGTAAAAAACCCATAAATAGCAAAAATGCCAGAAATAAACCACTTTACTATCAAATTTGTGAAGACAAAGAGCTTTCTGTAGTTGTTGATACTTGCTTGATAATTCCGATAGCAGATTTATAAGCAAATCAAGTTGTTATTAAAATTAAAAATTAACTTTTTAATTAATTATTTACTTAAAAATATAAAGGTAAAAATTCTAATTGAAATAAGCAATTCTAAAAATGAAATATTTTCTTTTGATGAAGAATATTTAAGTATCATATTGGGATAGTTTTTGAATAAAATAGTTACTATGTAAGAAATAAACAAATATAAAGATACCATTATTAGGTTTAATCAATAGCTAGTAGACACAATAGACCATTTAATGTATGCAGAAAATAAGTTTGATTTATCTTAAAGGATATAAAAATCGTTTGCAATGTGTTTTGGGATAACTAATTTTATATTCTATTATGTTGAAGGCGATAATTTAGTTAAATACGAAGGTTCTAATTAAAAATCATAATACTCTTTAAAGTATGGATTAGTTGGGTAAGCAGCTTTGGATTAAAAACCCTACATAATTAGTGATGCAAAACTCTCATCTTATTATAATAAATTAGTAGATTTATAGTCTATTCTCCCTATATTTGCAATACCTTTATTAGATAAAGAAAATATCAGAAGCTCCCCAGAAGAAAATCCTATATCTGCTTGTTTAGGAGTAATATAAATTGCTCTTAAATAAAAATATAAGTCTACATAAAAAGATATGCTTATTGATGCCTCAGATGGTTATTTTGGATTAGAAGAAACTATGTCTATAAAAATACAACAATTTTGCTAATTGCTTGTTCATTCAATAAAATAAATTAACAAAAAGTATTCTTGTTGAAAGTCTTTTTTAATTAATTGATTTTAAATAGAATTTATTTATTTATATTTATTTATTTATTTAGTTCATTGACACATTATAAAATGTTTTTTAAACTTTAGTTCTTATCTAATTATTCCTCCTCTATAATTAAGGTACGTCACTTATCTTATAAATTAATTTATATTTTTAATTTTAGATTTTTTAAGTAAAATTAAGTAGTTCTAGAATGTTTTATCTCAATCATAATTTATGCTAAATAAGTCAATTCTTTATTATTATATTTTACATAGCACTCAAATTTTAATTGGCGGGAACTAACTGATAAATAAAAATTAATATTTTAAATTATATTTTTTTTAATCTACTTTTTCTACCTTATTATATTTCAAAATATAAACGTATACCCTACCTACTTAGTAACAAAACCGAAAAAAAAATAATATTTTTATTTATTAAATAAGGAAGTTTAAGTAGAATAATTTTTAATTCATAAATAAGAAGAAAATAGGGGAAAAAACTATTTAAGCAAAATACTTTTATTTTGAAGAACGTAAAATCAAGGAAAATATTATAATAAAAATAATTTAATAAACAAGTAAATATTTATTTATTTCATTATAATTATTAAATAAAAATATTAATTAATTAAAAAATTACCTTATCCTAAAAAATGTCTAACAAAAACGATTTCAACGATTGCGAACTTAGTGAAGAGTAGAAGAAAATAGTCTATTCAGATATTAATCAAAACTAAAAAATTGAAGCTTGTGCAGGTTCTGGTAAGACAACTACTCTCATTTATAGGGTTAAATATTTGATCAATAACAAAATAAAGCCATAAAAAATAATATTAACCACTTTCAATATAGAAGCAGCTAAAAATTTAAATAAAAAAGCCAAATAGGTTCTAGAAACTAAAGATTAAACAAATTTGAAAATAGTTAATATTGATAAATTCATTTATGAAATATATGAATCAAATCTAAAAATAAATGATCCCCTTTAAAAAAAATACATAAAGCAAAGCTTAACATATATTAGTAGCTTAGTCTTAAAATATTTATCTTCTGATTAAGGAAGAAAAATTTTGAATTAATATAGTCATTTCTTTTTTGATGAATTTTAAGATATAAATGATATATAATATAATATTCTAATGTAATTTTGCAAGAATAATTGCAAAATAATAGCAATAGGGGATGAAGCTTAGAATATTTATAGCTTTAGAAACTCAAGATTAGAGTTTATTTAGAAAAAAATAGATGATGATGTAGAGAAATACTAAAATTAAAAAATACATATCTACAACCTTTCAATAAATTTTAGAAGTTAAAGTAAGATAATAGAGTTCTGTAACTAAATCCTAATTAATATCAAAAAATCTCATCAAATGTAAAGTGCAAAATAGAGTTATTAAGAAGAAGAAAAACCTATAGTAAAAATATATTAAAGCAAATAAGAGTAGTATGAAACTATTATAGAAGAAATATATGATTTAGTTTAAAAACATAAATACTAACTGAGTGATATAGCTATTTTAAGTCCAAGAAATGAAGAAATAAAACATATTTAAGCTATTTTAGAGAGAAAAAATTATGAAGTAAGAAAAAATAGTTAAAATTAAACCATTATTCAATAAGAACAATAATAAGAGGAAATTCCATATAGAATACTTTAAAAAAATTCTAACTTATTACTACTTAACTATTCAAAGACATTTGATGATGATGATATTATTGCTAAATTAACATTAAGTACATTTCATTCTTCTAAGGGTCTGGAGTGGAAAGTAGTTTATATAGTAGGAATAAATGATAAACACTTTCCAAGAGCATTCTTAGCGTAATCAAATTAAGAAAATACTAAAGAAAAATTAATTGAAATTCTGAGAACTTTTTATGTAGCTTGTACGAGGTCCATAGATTTATTGAATCTTTCATTTGTAAAAGATGATAATAAAGTTGAATTTATTTGTAGATTTATGAGTTAAATAAACGAAAAATATTTTTAAAAGGATGAATATTTCAAAAAGAAAAATATTGCTAAGATGAATTTGCAAAGCTATAATTAACAGTTAATTAAATAAGGTGAAAATGAATTTTAATAAAATTTAAGTAAAACTAATCATAAAGAGAGTTCTTTATTTTAAATCATATCCAATTTCTCATTTAATGACTTTGAGAAGATTAATTAATATCTTCAAGATTTAGAATAACTTGAACTAAATATAAATTAAACGAAAAAAAAAGTAACTTACTCTTTAAAAGATTTAAAACCAAACAATAATTGCTAGAGTCTTTTATCTTATCTTGATTTATTATTACAAAGAACTATAGCTGAAAAATTTAATTTAAATTCAGGATATCGCTATTAAAAAGCAGAAAAAATACTTTTTTGCATTGATTTAGATAAAAAACAACAAGCTATCTTTAATGAATTTAAGTGCTTATTTAGTGAATATTGTGAAAAAACTAACAATTATTAATAATTTTTAGAAATACTGTTAACATAATATTAAAGAGATTCAAATAGAATATAAAAAATTAACAACTCAAAATAAGAGATATGTTCTATTTATGAAACAATTAAATCATATTTGAAAGATTATAAAATAAAATTTAAAGACATTTAACATCATACCAAAAAATATTTTCCTGATAATTTCCAACATAAATAATAATTTTATGAATGCTATAAAAAGTTTATAAATAAAGAACACAAATTTCTTTCATACCTTAATCCACCAAATTAAAAATAGCAAATTAGTAAAACTTAATTTATATACGTATTAAGTAAATTAGATTTAATATACGAAGGAAAGCAAGAATGTTTGTATAGGAATGATAGTGAGGACATAGATATCTATCATAAATTTACATTGAAATATAATATAGAAAGATTTCTAAAAATAATTGAATCAAAAACAAAAGATAATAAAGATTTTAACATAGAAGTCAAGAAAGAGGTAAAGGATTAAGGATAGTTGTATGGAATTGTTGATTTACTTGTTGGTGATACTATTTATAAATTTGTTTATAATTTTTAAGAAGTTTACCCTATATAAATAGCACACTAAGATATTATTTAGTAGCTAGCATTTGCTTTAATTTTGAATGAGTAAGGAGCTAAAATAACATAAATAAGCTTCTATAATATTATCGAAGAAGATAAGATAGATTATTCAATTCAAAAATTTATTGAAAATCCAGTCATATCAAAGGATTATTTAGAGTTCTTAAAATACAAAGCAAGTAGTTTAGAATAAGAATTTGTATAAACATCATATGGTGAGTAATAAATAGAGCAACAATAAATGCCTAATCTTAATTTAGCAAATGAGATCAATAATTACTAACTTTAGAGTAATTAAAATTAAAGTTAACAAATTTTATAGTTTTAAGAATAATTTGATAGCAATAAGGATTCTTTAAAAGAAATACAATAAGATAAAAGCCCGTTTTAAATCAAAGAATAATAAAAAAATGAAATACATCAATTAAATTAATTCTAATATACTAACTATTAAGATTTGAACTAAAAATCTTTTGATGATATTTGTATCCAAAATTAGTTTTACTCATATTAAGATAATACTTTTCAAAAGGAATCAAAATAAAAATCATTTGATGATTAAATGTTAAAAAAGAATCAGTAAATTAATTTATTTGAAACTAAATATATGAATTAAAATGTTTCATTAAATAACTATGATTATAATATAGAGTAAAATTAAATTTAATAACAACATCAAAATTAATAAGACCAAAAACGATATCCATTCTAATTTATCAATGAGGGGTCATAATTAGAAGAAGATTAAAAACTTAACAAATTTCATTTCTAATTTTAAAATGAGTAGAATATGTTAAATAATTAAAATTAAACAGTAAATAATAAACTTTTGATTGAAAATTAAAATTAATTATTTATTAAATAAGCTAAATAAAACTAATTATTTTAAAGTGATACTTAAAATGAAGAGGAAAAGATAATAGATAAATTTTAAGAACCAATACCATATACTAACTATTATTGCAAGGAAAGTATGAATAATTAAATAAAATTAATAACTTAGACAAACTCTAATAATTTTGGAAATATACCTAAATTTTAAAATTAACAATCTTTATTTGAAGAAAGCGACTTCATTTAAAATTAATAAAAATAGATTATTTCTAAAGTCACTGACAATAATCCTAAAAGTGATTTAAATTAAAATTTTCCTTAATAAGCAGGATAATTTTTAAAAACTAATGTGTTAGAGAATATTCCATAAAATACTTTGGATAATAAGCAATTAGATTAAATAGAGAATAGTAATTTATATTAAAAATCAAATAATTTACATTTATTAGCACATTAATAAGTAAATTAGGATAAAATAATAAAAGAAATTTAAGAATAGTTAAGTAAACTGAATCAATTAGTAATTAATAACACTAAGAACATAATAGAAATATTATAATGGTTGTCATAAGATATAAACAATTTGAATGATAAATCAGTTAATGAATAAATTTAGTAATTGCAAATAAGTTTATCAAAATAATTTGTTAAAATTAATTATTAAAAAATATAATTAATGCTGATAATGTATACTGCAAATAAAAGCTATTCAGATTTTAAAAAGAACGAATTAATATAATTTTTAGTTGACTTAATAACGATAGAATAAAATAACAAACCAATAAATAAAAAAAATATTAAATTTGCAAATTAAATTGATAGTTATCCAACAAGTGATGAAGATTTAGATTTAGATGAATAAATATTAAAAATAAAACAAGGTTTAGCTATAGAGAGCCAAATTGAATAATGTAATGATTGGTATGAGATACGAGGAGACGTTGCTAAAATTTTAAAAAAAAGAGATAAGCCAAATAAGAGATAATTTGAACAAACAGATGAATCAATTTAAAATGAACAATAAGTTTACAAGTAATTAAAATAATGAAATTTAAATTAATTTTCAACCCATTTGATATTAAACTTTCAAATAGATATTAATATGCATTTTATTTTGTATCTGTAACTCTGATTTTTTTATTTCAATTAGTTTAATTATGTGTATTTAGATGAATCCACAATAATTGTTCCTTAAAAAACTATTTCATTTAATTATCTATCTTAAATACTTAAAAAATTGAAAACTATTTATTGATTTTCAAAATTTTATTTTTAAAAATTTTAAATTTTCTACTCCCTAAATTATTATTTGAAGTAGCAACATCATAGTTGCAGATATTTACTATGTAGTATTTTGTACTTTTTCTGCCTTATTAAATTTCAAAATATAAATAAACTTCCTATTAAAGTAATAAAACTGAAAAAAAAAATAATGATTTTTATAAAACAAGTAAGTTTAAGTAGAATATTTTATTAATAAAAAAAAGAAAATAGGAGAAAAAAAACTAATTAAAATAAAATACTTATATTTTGAAGAACAGAATCAAATTATTTTGAAGAAAAAATTTAAAAACAGAATCAAATAAATAAAATACTTATATTTTGAAGAAAAGAATCAAATTAAAAAGAAAATAATAAAAAATAAATAGATAAACTTATAAATAGACAATAAAAATATTAATTAAAAAAATTAGCTGATCTTAAAAAATGCTTAACAAAAACAATTTCTAACTTAGCGAAGAGTAGTTGAAAATAGTCTAATCAGATATTTATTAAAACTAAAAAATTGGAGCTTGCGCTGGCTCTGGTAAGACAACAACTCTCATTTATAGGGTTAAGTATTTGATTGATAACAATATTGAACCATAAAAAATAATATTAACCACTTTCAATGTAGAAGCAGCTTAAAATTTAAAAAAAAAAGCAGAATAGGTCTTATAACCTAATGACTTAAAAGATTTGAAAATAATTAATATTGATAAATTCATTTATGAAATTTATCAAAATTATCTAAAAATGAAAGATCCCCTGTAAGTAAAATGCATTAAGCAAAGCTTAAAGTATATCAGTGGCTTAGTTTTAAAATATTTAACTTCTGATTAAGGAAAACATGTTGTGAATTAATATAGTCATTTCTTTTTTGATGAATTTTAAGATATAAATGATATATAATATAATATTCTAATGGAGTTTTGCAAGAATAATTGCAAAATAATCGCAATAGGGGATGAAGCTTAGAATATTTATAGCTTTAGAAACTCAAAATTAGAATTTATTTAGAAAAAAATAGATGTAGATGTAGATAATTATTAAAATTAAAAAATAAATATCTACTAACTTTCAATAAATTTCAGAAGTCAAAGTAAGATAGTAGAGTTTTGTAACTAAATCTTAGTTAGTATGAAATAGTCTAATTAAATGAAAAGTGCAAAATAGAGTTTATAAGAAGAAGAAAAACCTATTGTAAAAATATATTAAAGCGAATAAGAGTAGTATGAAAAAATAATAAAAGAAATATATGATTTAGTTAAAAAAGATAAATACTAACTGAGTGATATAGCTATTTTAAGTCCAAGAAATGAAGAAATAAAACATATTTAAGCTATTTTATAGAGAAAAAACTATGAAGTAAGAAATAAAAATAAATATTAATAAAATGAAACCATTATTGAATAAGAGCAATAATAAGAGGAGATTCCATATAAAATACTTAAAAAAAATTCTAATTTATTATTGCTTAATATATTAGATGATGATAACAGTCCTAAATTAACATTAAGTACATTTCATTGTTCTAAAGGTCTGGAGTGGAAAGTAGTTTATATAGTAGGAATAAATGATAAATAATTTCCAGAATCATTCTTAACAAAATCAAATTAATAATATACTGAAGAATAATTAATTGAAATTTAGAGAACTTTTTATGTAGCTTGTACAAGGTCCATAAATTTTTTGAATCTTTCATTTGTGAACAACTAAGGTTCAAATTAATTTATTTGCAGATTTATGAGTTAAATAAGTGAAGAATATTTTTAAAAAGAAAAAAATTTTCATAAGAAAAATATTGCTAAAATTAATTTGGATAAAAAACAATTTATTAAAAAAGATGAAAAATAATTTTAATAGAATTTAAAGAAAAATAATCATAAAGAAAGTTCTTTATGTTAAATCATATCCAATTTCTAATTTTGTGACTTTGAGAAAATTAATTATTATCTTCAAGATTTAGAAAAACCTAAAATAAATACAAAATTAGATAAATAAAAAGTTGCATATGTTTTAAAAGATTTAAAACCAAATAATAATTGCTAAAATCTTATATCTTATCTTGATTTATTATTACAAAGGACTATTGCTGAAAAATTTGATATAAATTCAGGATATCGCTTTGAAAGAGCAGAAAAAATACTTTATTCCATTTATTTGGATAAAAAGCAGTATGAAATTTTTAATACTTTTGAGAAATAATTTAAAGATTATTGTGAAATAACTAGCAATAAAAAATAATTTTTAGAAAAACTGTAAACATAATATTAAACAGAATAAGCTAAAATATAAAATATTAACAGTTCAAAATAAGAATTAGAATGTATCTATGATAAAATTAAATCATTTTTGAAAGAAAAAAACATAAAATTTAAAGACATTTAAATTTAAGATGAAGCCAAAAAATACTTTCCTGATAATTTCCAAGATAAATAATAATTTTATGAATTCTATTAATAGTTTAGGGATAAATAACACATATTTCTTGAGTACCTTAAGATGAGAAAATCAGAACAACAAACACGTAAAACTTAATTTATATATGAATTAAGTAAATTAGATTTAATATACCAACAAAAACAAGAATGTCTTTATAGAAGTGATACAAATGATATACAAATCTATCATAAATATTCTTTGGTATTTAATATTCAAAGATTTCTAAAAATTATTGAAGCAAAAAAAAGAAATAATAAAGATTTTACTATAGAAATCAAGAAAAAAGTAAAGGATGAAGATCTTTATGGGGTTGTTGATTTACTTGTTGATGATACTATTTATAAATTTGTTTATAATTTTTCAGAAGTTTGTCCCATTCAAATAGCACACGAAGATATTATTTAGTAGCTAGCATATGCTTTGATTTTGAATAAGCAAGGAGCTAAAATAACATAAATAAGCTTCTATAATATTATAGAAGAAGATAAGATAGATTATTCAATTCAAAATTTTATTGAAAATCCAGTCAAATCAAAGGATTATCTAGAGTTCTTAAAAGAAAAAGCAAATATTTTAAAATAACAACCTGTATAGTAATAAATAATACAAGAATAAATGCCTAATCTAAATTTAGCAAATGAGATCAATAATTATTAACTTTAGAGTAATTAAAATGAAAGCTAACTAATTTTATAGTTTTAAGATAAATTCGAAACTGAAGATTCTTTAAAAAATAAATAATAAGACTAAAAAAATTAAATGAAATTAAAAAAGAATCAGTAAATTAACAAAGATGTATCTCCTAATAACGATTTTTTTGATTAAAATTAATAATAATAAAAAAATTTAAAAAATATGCCATAAAATAATTTGGAAAATAAGCAATTAAATTAAAAAGAGAATAGTAATTTAAATTAAAAATCAAATAATTATTTATTTGATAAAGAAATTTTATAAAATTTAAATAAACTTAAGCAATTAGAAGTTCTTAACAGTAAAAATATAATCCAAATATTACAATGGTTACTAAAAGACATAAGCAATTTGAATTATAATTCATTAAATGAGTTAATTGAGGAATTAAAAATAAAGTTTTCAAAATAATTTGTTAAAATTAATTTTAAAAAAATATAATTAATGCTGATAGAGTTGACTGCAAAAACAAGCTATTCAGATATTTAAAGTAATAAATTATTATAATTTTTAATTAACTTAATAAATATTGAATAAAATAACAAACCAATGAATGAAGACAATATTAAATAAGCATATAAAATTGATAGTTTTACAACAAGTGATAAAGATTTTGATTTTGATGAAAAAATATAAAAAATAAAAGAAGGTTTAGATTTAGATTTAGAGAGCGAAATTGAAGAATGTAATGATTGGCATGAGATACGAGGAGACGTTATTAAAATTATTAAAAAAATATAATTACATCAGAGAAAATAGGAACATTCAGATGAATCAATTTAAGACGAATAATAAGTTCGCAAGTAATTAAAAAAATGAAATTTAAATAAATTTAAACTTATTTAGTCATAAACTTTCAATTATAAATTAAATGATTTTTATTATTTTTGTACCTGTAATTAAGATTTTTTATTCGAATTATTATAGTTTAATTATACCTATTTAGATGATTTCATAATAATTTTTAATTTTAAAACTATTTCATTTAAATATCTATCTTAAATACTCAAAAATAAAAAATATTTATTGATTTTTAAAAAATTATTTTTACAAATTGTATATTCAAAAGAGTGAAAAATAATTTATTTATTATATGCTTATATTATGAGAATAGTAGGTATGTTTTGATTTGTAGATGTAAGATAAGCTATTCTTATTCAATATTAATTACCATTACATGGTAACTTAATAATTAATTAGTAAAAAAAAATATAAATACCAAATATAATTTACAAAGAAGAAAAAAAAAATTAATTTTTAAAATGAAATTCAGAAACATAATTTAACTTTTGATATTACTTATAGTCTTTTAGGGAGGCTTTGCATATAAAAGAAAATAATTTGATGCTTGTATAGCAAATAATTGTGCAGTTTAGTAAGCTTTTTGCTAGAATGATTTTTAGTGTTCTGATAATTAGTTAGATTATCTATATTGCATAGGGACAAATAATGCATGTTAAGGAAACTTTCCTGATGACATGTTTTCTTCCTCAGTTATAAATTGCATGAAATAATGCAGCGTAGCTTCATAGAATATAAATTGGATTAATCTATAAAAATGCTATCTCAGTTGCTTTAGTTATAAGATGAGTCTTTTTTTGGGAACATTACTAATTTCAATTTTCTCTATAATGTGATTTCATCAATTTACTGAATCAAAATAAATAAATTAATAATTAATTAACATATATATCTATCTATGTATTAATCTGCATTAATAAAGAAAGTTTCATCATTAAATTTTAATGAAAGATTTCATACAATATAAACATGAATAAAGATAAATAAATATTCAGTGAATAGATTTACTTGAAATGATATATTTATTTTTTTATATTATTTATTTGATATTATAAGAAAAAACAAAAAATAATTTTGTTAGTTTGTTTGTTTGTCATTTTTTAGTTATTATTTACAAATAAATAATAAAATAAAATAGGTTATTCCTTAAATTAAATAATTTTATTTTTAATTCATTCATTAATTAATTTAGTTCATATCGTATTCTTCTAAAACTTACTATTATTATTGCTGTTATAAATATTAAGAATTATCATGTCTTTATTATCCTTGAAGTTCTTTAATTTCTTTATTTATTTTTATAGCTTATTAATATAGAATTTTTTGATTGTTCTGATTGGCTATTTATTGGCTCTTTGAGCTAAAGAACTAAGCATCCCTATAGTTTAAAAAATAATAAATTTTATATAAATAGATATTTAATTTTAATTACTGGAATGACGAATTCTTATTCTATTAAGCTTTATCTTTATATTGCTTATAAAAATTGTTTCCTAATTGCTACTTCACTATTTAAAATTCATCTACATCTTGCTATGAGTTAGGATCATTTAAGGTGTAATGATTATTTTATACTACAATATTATTCAATTAAGATATTCCTGAGAAATTCACCTTCTAAGGAATGGTATTTTGGTATGAATATTGCTTTAAAAGCTAAGCATTTGATGATGATTTCGATATACTCTTAGATGACTAAAATTAATCTTAAAGAGATTTATTTATAGTTTACTTAATCTAATCTATACGAGAGGGTACAGAATGTTTTTGCTTCATGCTTTAAATCGATTAATTAATCTAAATATTTTCAGAAAAATACATCTAATTTTTATTTTTCTGTTAGAAAATTTTTGGTTAGTTTGAGTTTTTTGATAGACCTTATTACTAATTCTACTCCTTTTATTAAAAAAATGCTGCAGTTTACTAATTGGTTGTCCCAAATGTATATTCACTATTCTATTCTTTATTATTTTAAATTAATCCACTCTGTTTTAGATTATTTTCTAACTCTTAACACACTTCAATAGCTTTCTAAATTCTATTAAGTATAAATAAAATTTGTTCATTGAATATTTAAAAATAAAAATGTATTTTAATTATTTTCTTCATAAAAAAGTTACTTTTAATTTTGAGTTTCGCTTTAATTTGCATCAAAATTCTAAACTTAATAAATTTGATCTTTTTCTTGAGGTTTTGTTGTCAGTATTTGAGGAATTTCTTAGTTCTTTTAATAGTCTATGCTATCTTTAAATTATTAATTAAAAATAAATAATTGATTAATTAATATTATTTTATGAAATAAGAGTACTTGAGTGGTTATAATCGTATTTGCAATTAAGATAGGTTAGGAATGTTGGTGATACTCTTTTCTCCGAAAAAAAACCTTTTTCTTACTCATATCCTTTTAATCTTTTTGCTGAATTTGTTATGGTAGCATTTGAATGATTTTGTTGGTTGTAATTTGATTTTTTCTAAGTTGAATTATTTCTTGTTTGGCTTTCTGTTTTTTTGCTTGGAGTCATTATTGAAGCATAAGAATTCTTCATTCTTTCAGTATTTTTTTCTGAAACTTTTTTTTGCCACTCAATTTATCTATCATAAACACTCATATTATGTTCATCATCCTAAGGAAGAGATTTATATTTCTTAGGGTTAATTTAAGGTCTAAAAGTGCAGCCAACTGTTTCTTCCTTTTTTTTCTCTTCGATTCTTTTTTCGATCAATATTTATTTTCTTTTCATATAAATCTAAGTCTTATCTTCAATAGGCAAATAGTTGTTACTGTAAATTAAAATAAATCGAAATATTAATTTAGATAAATACAAATAAAAAACCTTACTTATTTAAGGATAGTCTTTAGGCTTTTTCTGTTAATTTAGGTTTAAATGTACATTTTTAGAGGTCTTTAGTTTCAATTTCTCTTTATATATTCTTCAATTTCTCTTCTTTTTCTTACTTTATTTGCATTCCATGATAATAAATATTACATAATAGCTCAGTTTAATGATCTTATTTTTTTGGTTGCGAACTTTACGGTCTTTATTAAGTTGCGTTTTGATAACTGTGATATTGTTTTTTATTACTCATAATACTGTTGTTGTTATTATTATTATTGATAGAGATAATAGTGTTTGTATTATTTTTTATAACACTGCTTTTAGTTTATACTTTAGAATCTTTAGAAATAGTTTCACTAATTTATGATAGCCTTGGTATATTTGCCTAAGTGCCATGCAAATTATCTAGTTTTAAAATAATAAAATAATTTTTATTACAAAAAGCAAATAATTAATCTACTACTTTATAATGTTTCTTAAGAGCTAATCATAAGAGAGGATTTTACAGTTTTTAATTGCTCGAGAGAGTTAACATCTTTTATTGATTGTTATGAAAATTTTTGAGTTAAGCTTTGATTTTTATATTATTACTAAGACTATTATTATACAGTTTCTTATTTTTTTGTTTAAGATACCTATTAAGATTTTATTTAGTGAGAAGGATTGCTTGATTAAATAGTAAATGTCTGCTTTGAGCTGTTAGCTTGGGAAGAAGTTCCTGACTAATCTATTCCTTTTTTAAATGACTACTACTTCTATTGTAACTCTAAAAGTTATTTTTGATATCTGTTTTGATATTCTATTTCAGCCTCCTCAGGTGTCATTTTAGACAATTACTTTTCAAATCTTATATTTTCTTCATTCTATTCTGAACTATGCTAGCTGCTGCTATTCTTTGCTACTTGAGAAGTGGAATTTTTACTAAGCTGAGTTTTTATTTCTGAAGGTGGCATTTGTTGGTTACTTTCATTTTAAAATTCATTTATATTTTTTTAGATTTACTGATTGAGATAATCTTGTGATATATGCTCTAACTCTTGATTATGCTACTAAATTTAACCTCTGACTATCTCAGCATAATTTGCTTATTGATTTTGTTGATCTTCTCCATAACAATTTTATCTAAAATTATGTTAAAAAAGCGAATTAATATATTAATAATACTAAATATAAATTAACTATAAATAATCTTAAGTTGCATATCTTTATCTTTAAGAGTTTTAACTAATTCCATTGACTTCATCTAATTCATCATCATCGTCGTCATCATGATTTTCATGATTATTGTATAGATAGTGTTGATCTAGTATAAGAATTATATTATATTCAAAAAACATTCCATTCAAGTAATGATACTTTAATTGTGGTTATCTTATTGTTATTATGAGGAATCTTACTCCTCATCTTCACTTCTAATAGGGTCTTTGTAAATATTAATATAATCGTCGTTCCCCTCTTCATAATGGTATTCTTCTTGCAAATTGTTTGACTTCGCTTTTGAGCTCATCTTTTCTATTAAGTTTCATAAAGATAGAATAACTAATCTAATTCTTTATATATAAATTTTAAAAATTACTTTGCTAAAAATTAACCTCATAGAGTTCTAAATCACTAGAGTTCTCTAAATTATATTAATTTCCTTGACCTATTTCCTATCCTGAATTTTTACGGTTCATTTATACTAGCTTAATAAGTTTTATGTTGAGCTAATTAAGTATTTAATTGATTAATTTAAATATAAAGGTTTTGTTATATAAAACTTAATCAAATAAAATAAAACAAAACTTTGTTAGCTAATTAATTAAATAATTAATTTATAATAAATAAAATTATTGATAGATTTATAAAATTAAAGTATAATATCTATCAAACACTATTTGTTGTTAAATCATCTATCATTTGAATAGATAATAGAGAAAGAAAGCAAATTCTCAAAACCTAAAATTTATTCTAACAATTTAAAAAGGAAGAAAGATATTTATATTTATTTATTTATTTGATTGTTAGTTTGTTTATTTATTTACTTGTTTTTTAATGTTTCATTAAAAATTACTGAAAAATTTTAAATATCTTTTTTAAATTTTTTTTACATAGAGAAATTTAACTAAATTAAATATAAATTCTAATTTAAAATTGAATGAAATAATAAAAATATTTAAATGCCTTTAATTTCTTCCATTTCGAAAATTTAATTTTAAAAAGAAACCATTTTAAATAGAAAAATTTCTTTAAAACGAATATTAAATATTTCTATTTAATAATTTAATTTTTATTAAATTTTTAAAAAGTTTTTTCTGATTAGTTTTTATCATATTATAAAATTGATTTGTAATTTGTATTAATAATTTATTTGTTAAATATTTCTGTTTAGTGATTTTTTAATTTAGTAATTTGGTTGTTTATTTATTTATTTGTATCTTAGGTTTATTTGTATTTATTTTTTTATTCGTTTATTTTTTTTCTTTTTGTTTTAATTTATTTTTTTATTTAATTTGTATTTGTATTTGTATTTTAATTTGAATTTGAATTTGATTTTATATTATTAAATTTTATTTTTTATTTTTATTTTTCTTTATTTTTTATCTTTTTATATTTTTTAATTTTAGAGAGAGAGCAACTTTCTGCCTATCAACAAGAAGATTCTCGACGTTCCTAATATGTTAAAGGGAAGAAGAGGGGGTTAATATTCGCGTTTCCTTGAGATACGTATAATCCGCAACATACAATATACTCTTGAATGAATTCTGTGTATTACTATATTTTGTCCTATCTAAAGATTTAAGTCTTTTCAAGGATAGTAATACCAGTCACTCATAGAGCTTTAAGAGTCCCTCAAAAACTTAAACAAGCAGCACCAAATGCTTACTTGTTACAAAATAATATTACTTGACTTACCATTTCGATTAATAAATAAATTAATCAGCATAGGTGCACTATAATCATCAGCTCATTACCCAGTCATAATCAAAGCTACCCATTTCATACTATACTACGACAAAAGCACAAAGCAACATACTAATCAGCATAATTAATTATTATTATTTTGATTTAAGGTTACTATTAAAGAATTTTAACATTTTAGATTTGATTTAAGTCAGATCTAAGTGTTGATTCATTAATTTTTAGTTTTTTTTTGTTATTATTTGTTACTTTTTTTCAAATTATTTTTTGTATCTTTTTGATTTTTTTTTTAATAAAGTTTTATATTGAAAAATTTATGGAACAATAAATATTTGATTTATTCAATCAATCTAATAAATGTTAATCTTTTCAAAATTTTTTTAATAAATTAAATAAAAATATAATTTTCTCTTTTTTTCATTACCAATATAAATATTTTGAATTTAAAAAGATAAATTTTTGAATTATTTAACACAAAAATTAGATTTCTCTAAAAACTATACTATTTTATATTTCAAATGAATTTTATAAACTAAAAGATAAGGATTTAATAAAATAACAGGATATTATAATTTTATAGAGTATATAAACTTAAATAATTTAATAATTTTGTATTTTATCGATTTATATTTTACTTGTAACATTTGTGATTCTATTCTAGATAAAAATATTTTTATTTTTGGTATGTTTAAAATATTTAATAAATTTAATTAATCCTTAAAGTTTTAATTTTTTATAATTTAAAATTTAATAAAACACATATTATTTATAAAATATAGTTTAAGGATAAGTTTATATTTATATGATTTAATTTGAATGTGAAATAATTTAAAAAAATATTCAATCAAAAATAAAATTTAAATATTCTTTTAAATAATATTTCTTTAAAAAAATGATGAATTTTTTTATCTTAAAGTTTGAATTATCAAAAATAAAATAAAATTATGATTATCATATTTAAATATTTGATAATATTAAAAAAATAAGAATTATATTCATGATATATATAAGAATTAATTTAATATATTTATTCTTATACGTTTGTTATAAAATTTAACTAAAAAATGTTTTAAACTAGCCTTTGTTAAAAAATTGTTTCTATTTTTATTTTATTTTATTTTTACTTTTGGATTTTATTTTTATTTTTATTTTTCTGTTTCTATTTTTATTATTAATTTTATTTATTTTTTTATTATTTATTTATTATTTATTTTTATTTATTTATTTAATTATTTTTATTTATTTATTTTATTTTATTTTATTTTATTTTAATATTTGATTTCTATTTAATTTTATTTGTTATTTAAATCTAGTTCATTTATTTTTTCTTAACTAAGAGAGCGAGGAAACCTAATTTTTAAAAATATAATTTTTTATAATAATTTAAGCAAGTCTAAGAGAGAATTTTCTTGAGATCTCAAGGACTCTTCAATCCATTTACTTCTTATATTAATCTTACTTGTGCTTGATGCGTAAAAAACTTAAGAGTGATTGTAATATTGTAAGCTTCAAATAATCTTAAAAGTAAAGGATCTTTTTAGAAGGTCTTTTGAAAGTTTTAGTAAGATTAAAACCATTATGATTTAAATGATCTTAATAATACTTGATATTTTTTCAAATAAAGAATGTTAGCCATAATATTTAGATTTTTGCTGTATTAGATTAACAAACAGAGGGCACTGTTTTATATGTATTTAGAATTGGATGATAAAAAACTTAAGCGATTCTAAATATAATCTCTTTTTTTTTTAAAAACTTTGTTATTTAAGGATAAAAACTTATTTATTTGGCTTTCATTTTTATTTGTTCGCATTTTAAATTGATTTGATTTTCTTTTTTAGCAGGAAAATTTATAGTTTTTAGTAATAATTGATTTTAATTTATTTATATTTTCTTTAATAATAAGGAAATTAATTTCTCAAAGTCACAATTTATTAAAAAAATAATGTTCTCTAAAACTGAATAATGTTACAAGGTAAAATTCTTTGAAACATTTAATAAAATATGTTCCCCATTTAAATTAATCATAAAGATTTTCATTTTTATTGATGTCTTAGTTTTATTTTATTCTTAATACTTAATCTTTTAATGAAATATCTAATAAAATACATAAATATTAATTTTTTATAAAACAAAATATTTGCTTGCTTATTTTATTAATTTCTTAGTTTTATTTTCAAATTAATTATTCTTCTATTTTACTATTTTTCATATTCAATAATTTATCAGAATTCTGAAATTTAGAAAAATTTTCTTATTTTTCTTATATTTTTCATAACAAAGAAATTTATTTATTAAAATTTTCTCCTGTAATATTTTTATGATTTTCTTATTTCTTTGCAGGTGTTAGCAAAACTGAATATCTTTAAAAATAAACACTAAATTTTTTAGACTGCTCACATAATTATTTCCCATATATTTTTATAGTCTTAATCAATAATATTTTTTTGATATTTTAGCAAATTTAAATTATAAAATAAATAAATAAACAAATATTAAAAACATTTACTATTATATTAGGTAAATTATCTTTAAATTTAAAATTTATAATATATTTTTTATTCATGAATTTTATTTAAAATAATAAAGTCAAACTGTTCAATTCCTTTTAATTTAATTAAGATAAATCTTTTTTAAAACAAGTTTTGCTTACGCAAATCTTGCTTTTTTTTGGTAAAAAAAAATTCAATTTAAAACTAATATTAAATTTATATATATCTATGTATCTAATAAAATTTTACCATATATTTTACTATTAATTCATATAAAAATATTTTATTAAGATATTACTTTGAGTAATAAATAATATTAAAATCCAGCTTCAAAATATTTATTGTAATTAATTACTTCATTAAAAAAAAATAATTATTTTGATTTATTTTTAACAATTTTTTAATTAAAATTATAATGTTTAATGATATTTCAAAATAGGCATGAAGAATGTTAAGAATAGGATTAAACATCTTTTATCTTAATTTTGTCATGTAGGAAAACTAAAATTTTATAGTCTAACGAAAACAAGAATATGACTTAAAATTTAATGTTACTATAAATAAATGCTTTTTATATTAAATAGTTATAGAATATTTTGAATTTATATTTATTAAATATTCATTTAAAATACTCTAGCTAATAATAATTAGAATATCTTTAAAAAAATAAATTATATATCATAGAAAAGCTTTTATTAAAAAAATTTTTTTATAAGAAAAGCTCATTATTATTTAATATTGACTTAAATTATATTTTAATAATATTTGCCTAGCAATTTCACAGTAATAAAATACTAATGTAAATAAGTTTAATATATAATAAAAGAGATGGATAACAAATGAGGATTGTTTTTAATAAAAAAGCTAAAAACAGTAAAGGTTGTATCATATGTAAAATTAGCATATATGCTTTAAGAAAAATTATATTTTATTAATATTTTAGAGATTTTTGAAGTTTGATTTATATTTAGAATATATTTGTTTTTATTTTATGAGTAATTGGTTGTGTTTGTTTAATATATTTTTAATGTAAATAGAATGATTTTTTATTTATTTATGTTATGTATTTATTTATTTTAATTATATTTATATTAAGTTTTTGGAGTTATTTTAGTTTTTTTTTTTAGATGTGGATTTTAAATAGGTATTTTTGACAAGGATAGAGAAGCTCGATTTTTTAATGTTGTTTGATTTTTTCTTTCTTAAATATTTATTTTTGTATTTTTTTTAGTTTTTTATCATCATCATCATCATCATTTCATCTTTCGAAGTATTTTTGACAAATAATCCTGGGTTAGTTTATAAATAATAAAAGGAATAAGAAAAATATCATGTATTTTGAAAAAGAGAATTTTAGTGTTCACGGCCGGGAGTATGCTGTCATAAAGCTGAAGTTTCTCAAGCAAATTTTTCCTATTTTCTTTTGGTAGCTTAGATCTGTTTCAATCGATAAGCTAATAGCATAAAATAGTTTCCACCTCAGCTTCCTTTTTGCAGCTTTGACTTACTTTTAATTTTTAAAGGCATTTTCATTTCAAGATTGCTTAATTTGTCTGTCTGAGTATATGATGCAATAGATTGTTTTATTCCATTCCTATCTTTTAGTAAATATATAATTGAAGATTCCCATAGCAAAAACTTGTAACCTGTATTTGATAGAATTAGCAAGTAACTAAAATCTACTATAAAAAACTGATTGCGTTTGTACTCGATTATGAAAATAATAAAAATGAAAGCCTATTAAAAACTTATTTTTTGGAAGGATTAAAAACTATACCGGGCTCTATGAAAATTATTGCGTTAAAAATTAATTATAAAAATATATCGTTAAATTTTCACTTTTAATTAAAGTTACCGTTGAAAAGTTAATTAATTTTAATATAGACTAAGCTATTAAGATTTATTTATCTAAATCAATTTATTTATGAGTCTAACAAACAAATATAGAAAACATAACCTAACAAACAAATATAGAAAACATAAGAATTAATTAAAATTTTATAAAAAATATAAATAAATAATCTAATTTAAAAAATTAATTTTCATATTTACAAATATTTTTAATTTTTCTTTATTAAATTATAATTTTTATTAAACATTTTAGATAAATTTTGTTTATTTGCACATATTTACTTGCGAGTTTGAATTACTGATTATAAAAAATACTACTTTAATTTTTAAATTTAAATTGTAAATTTTTAATCTGGTTTTTAGATATTAAATCAATTTGTTTCTTTCACTTGTAAATGAACGAGGAAGAATATTAAAATAAAGAAAATACACATCCTAATATTTAATCTTCTAACGCTTTAAATAGCTAGAAACTAACTTATTTTCAACAAAAGGCTACTTTTTATTTGGATGAAGACACTAAAACTTTTTCCTAAACGTTTTAACAGAATGCTAAGAACTACAAATTGAATCTAAACAAAAACAGTTTCATACATTTTTGGCCTAATTATCCTATCAGACACTAAAAACTCTTAATAAACAATTTTTTACCAAAGTAAAAAGATAATTCAAAGATAAAGCCTTTGAGAGTTAATTTATCGCAGCCCTAAATTATAAACTTAGAGTAAAAAGCACAAGCTGTGGGATAAGTTTTTGTTGTTTATGTAGAAAAGAGCAATTTTATCGACTTTTTAGAAATTAGCTGTGCTACTTTTTCTGTAGTAGAATTCTAAAATTAATAAACAAATAATTAACACCAAAATGAAATATTTGGCTTGACAGTTGCTCATGTCTTTATGGATACTCCATAAAATACTAAAGGTGATTACTATCGCTTAATATTTGTAAGTATGAGTGAAATTGACACATTCGAAGATTTTAAAAAGTCTCTTTAAACATTCAAAGCAAAAAAAAGAAGATAAATTGTAGATTTCAACAAATAAAATGGGTTTAATATAAAAGATTTTAGTAAACTCCTTTAAAATTATTTATAAGAGGAAGATAAATACTTTAAGGGATAGCCTATTTTTTAGGCATTCATAAATTATGAATTCTTAGAATATAGACGAGAGTTGATATCTGTTATAAGTGAAAGTGAGACTTCTCATTAATTTTTATTAGATCCTCTTAACGGATTGTAATGTCTCCCTAGTATAGATTGCTGTCTACTTTCTTTTGAAGATAAATTTATTGATTTCTTTAACAAATAGAAGATATATCCTTTATAAATTTCATAAAATTAATACAACATTTAAGAAGACTAATAAAATAATATTTATATGATTGGATATTAATAAATTATAGGATCAATTTTCTAAAAGAAAGACCCTACATATATATTAAACATGCTTTATGATAATTAAACAATATAACCAATAGAAGTTAATAAACTTATTAACCCTCATAAATCCTTGTAAGTGGGATAATACGCAAAAAGCAATAATTATATTTTAACTTTCGAAGCCAGTACTACCTAAGGCTCAAGTGGTTCACCAGTTCTTGATATAAATGGCAATCTGATAGGTAAAATAAAATAAAATAAATTTATAAATTTATTTATTTACTTTATAATTAATTACTAATAGGAATAAACACAGGATATTTTGACGATATTACAGGATATGAAGATACACAAGAAACTTAAACTTATTAAAGTATTATCAATTTTGATAGAAATGTTAAAGAAAATCAATCTAATTACCACAAAATTAAAAATTATAACTGCGGAATAGATACTAACCATATTATATTCTAAGCATTTTCAAAAAGAGAAATTTCAATTTTCTAAACAATTCAAATATAAAACCCTTCAGAGTTAAGAAAATCTATTCCTCCTTCATATAATTACTAAATATCAAACTAAAAGTAAAATAAATAAAAAAATAAGTGATTTAAAATTAAAAGTATATCTTTACTTTTATATGATTTTAAATAAAAAAATTATATTTCTTAATAATTTTTATCATACAATCAATGATTTTTAGCATTTAATTTATTTCAAATTTAAAAAAATTTATTAAAATCTTATCGAATTAAATAGATTTAATAATATGTAAATGATATCTTTATTTGGAGTTATATCTATGTATTTATTAGTAATATTTTAAAGTCTGACTGACAAGTTTAATTAAAAAAACATAAAAATTAATATAAAGAAAGAATTTGGTGATGTTAACTTAGTATGATAATTAATTATTTACATAATCAAAAAATATAAAATACTTATTATTATATTTATATATTTTGAAATATTAATTTTTTTTCATACAATAAATACTCTTTTATATTTAGTTTTAATTTTAAGTTGTTATATCCATGCTTGCTTTCAATTCGTTTTTGTTGTTCTTGCAATTTCAATTATTTGATTCTTGCTCCCTTTGTAA